ATCAAAAGCATGTTTTAAAGTTTTTTCTCTTTCTTTTTCACTTTATTGCTGGAAAAAATGTACCACACAGTGACTCAGGCTTTCTGCTTGTAATATTTTTGTTACTGATGAGGAAAACCAGCTTTAAGTTATTCCACATATCAATGGTCACATGCATTAAAAACAAGCTAAAAATTGCTAATGGCTTCAATCCATGAATATCCAGAAGGCATAAAGCTTTTGTAGTATAAATATATCATTAATGAAAATATTGAAAGGAAGTACATTTCCATGAAATTCATCTATCAGAATGTTATTTTTAATAGATGAATTCATTACTTCACCCAGAGGTTTTTTATTTTCCAGTCTTTTTCCAGGCATAGGGCCTTACTGCACTCTGTTCAGGTTATGAACAGAACAGTATTTGCATCAGGTTCTCCCCGTACTCTGGAGCAGTGAATTGCTATAAAGCATGAATTTGACTGCCCTAATTCTATCTTTGCCTTAAAAGGTACCTGAACAGGTTCTATTTAATAGAATGTGCTTTTGTTGGATTTGTTTTTGTGAGTCTAAAGGAAAAGTTCTGTCCTATTGTAGTAACTTGATTGTGAAAAATCGGAGATGGTTCTTTAGAAAACTGGTATCAGTTCCCTTCAACATATAATAAATCTGCTAATGTATAATGTGGATAAGTCCATGTCTTTTCGTATTCCTTTTCCTGGGTGAGTAACTTGCATCATACATCAATGTTAGACACTCTAGAATAGAGGATGTATTTACTTGCTTTGTTATCATGTACTGAGGCTAAATTCCATAGCTCTTGAAAAGTGCTCTGAAGTCCTCCAGTGGAAAGGTCTTTTTCATTTGCTTCCAGTAGTTCCCACAATGAGCTAATCGCTATATAAACGTATTTGTCTTCCAAATTAGCAGGAGTTGAGCAATCCACTTCTTTCAATGAGTGAAATTGTCAGACGTGAAAGAAAAATCAGCCATCCATTTATGTAAAATATCAACGTCTTTGTCTGGAGTTGCTTTTTGTGTTGTTAGGATCAGCAATTCACCTACTAAACTTTTTCAGACTAAGAGGCACGCTACAACAATGACTTAGTGCAGCAGCAGGCTAGCACTCTCAGTGACTTCATTTCTCCTTGCACTTTGCTCAACAGCAGCAAAACTCAATTGCTGATTTTTATTTTTTTTTTTTTTTTGTTGTTGTTGTCTGCATGTGTATAGAAGTTTAAATAGTGACTAAGTGGTCAATTCACATGGCAGCTAATAGGAGCAGCATGGTAAATGTTTCAAGTTAAAAAAGGAACCAAAATCTCGTCTTCACGAGGACCCAGAGGAATCTAATTTTGCAGTTGACCAGGGGCTCATCAGAAGCTGGTAGAGAAAATAGCTGCTAAAAGATTTAAAGCAATGCACTGAAGCTGATGGCCCAGTGCTGCCTCTCAAAGAAAAGGTGAAAATGTGTTAAAATCCAGATATGACTTCTCCAATCCTAGCCTTCCCAACCAAGTTCAATTAACACATCTTAGAACTGAGCTTTGGAGGTGTATTTTAGTATTTTGGTTTAAATCTGTTCTATTAAAACTTATTTTTTAGGTAAGTAATTTTCCCTATACTGTTGCCTTTGTTTCCCCATCTGAGTACAGAAACTAATGAGATTTTCTTTCATTTAAGTCCAGGCCTAAGACATACTGTGGTAGAAACACTAAGTGTCTGGGGTTCTTATGTAGAAATAGTGTTACACAACACACAGCTTTTAAATAGCTTAACAAATCCAGTACCTGATGGGACTGTGACCATGCATGGAAAGTTTCAACCCATACAGGGAGCACAAGATAAATAGAGCTGAGTGTAAATGGAAGCTCTTTCCCATCTTAAATATGTGGTACTATCATCAATCACCAAAATAAATTTTTTTTTCTTTTTTTTCTTTTTTTTCTATATAATCTCACTTTTCATACCCAATTTGCTCAGTGATACTGTAATTTCAGTATTTATAGCTTTATATTTGTTTTTTCTTTGTTGCTGTTGCCTGTTAGGATGTTGCAACGGTGACACGAGGAATTAATAAAGCAGGTATAACCAGGATACTTCTTAAATACTCATATAAAGTCTTCTGTCAGGGAAGTTATGAAAATCATATAATTTAAGTTATTTGTAATGTGACTTGACAATAATTTGGAAAATGGATCACAATATAGTACAATAAGAGTCTTTCATCTCTAATTTCTTTTGCTGTATTTGAACTAACCCTTGTTCCATCTTTTTGCAATTCAGAGACCAGTTTAGGAATAAATGAGATATTTATTTCATGTAAAGAAGTGTGTGTGTATATAAATATATGTGTGTTTGGCCGTTGTTACCCCTTGTCCTATCGCTTGTTACTTGGGAGAAGAGGCTGACCCTCACCTCACTACAACCTCCTTTTAGGTAGTTGTAGAGAACGTTAAGGTCCCCCCTGAGCCTTCACTTCTCCATACAAAACAACCCCAGTTCCCTCGGGAGACATATGCTGTAGACACTTCACCAGCTCTGTTGTCCTTCTTTGGATCTGCTCCAGCAGCTCAGTATCTCTTGTACTGAGGTAGTAGCCTGTATATCAGTGGCAATTTAGTCTGAAAATACTGTTTATTGATATGAAGATAAGAGATGTTCTGCCCTGGATGGTAATGTCAAGCTTGGTAAATGCTAGAAATACAGATGGAAAGGCAAATTTGTGGAAACAGAGAGCACACCAGGCAGGGAGAGTAGGAGAGAGAGCGAGCAGCCAGGAGAACACTGATGGAAGAGACCTACAGAGAGGCAAAAATTGTCTTTTATGTTGGTTTGTGGGGTTTTTTTGGTGGGTTTTTTCTTTTTTTTTTTTTTTTTTTTTTTAAAGACAGGTAATATAGAATTAAAATTCTGGATTAAGATACTACTTTCTTCCTTTGGATCTCCAGAGTAAAATTAGTATCTGTTTCTCCCTTGAGTATAGAGGTCATTTATAGAGGTTTATTCAGATGCTAGAGTTTGATACATTGGAAGTATAAGTACATGAAAAGAGTATGTATAATTCTCACAAGATATAAATTGGTGATTTTCTTGGTGGTTTATTTGGGTTTTTTCTTCTAGAACTTTCCTGCCTGGTGAAGAGCCTACATACCCATAGGTGCTGCAGGACTATTGTACTTTTTTCTGGTTTTAGTGAGTTTTACTTGCACTTAGGATTGCTACAGAGTAGATATATCACAGTAGTATAAGTGAACTTACTTGCTACTGAAGTGCAGCTCTTTCTCGGGATGTAGCATAGCTCTGCAAATACCATGGAATAGTTCAGGATAGGTTTGAGAATAACTTACTGTAGTGAGATAAGTAGGATGAAAATAGCAAAGTGCACAAGGATACCTTAGTTTGTGCAAAATATACTGGATTGGAGAGTAACCTTAAGGGATTAATGTACTCTGTTGTCCAGAAAACTGTACCAGAGCATTATTTAGACAGTGCTTTTTATTTATGTAAACCTATTTAATTTTATTTTACTGGGGGCCCCCAGTTTAACAAGCATTTGAAAGGTCTGATGATGCCTTGGTGATGTCTGAAGCGCCTCATGAGCAAATAGTAATGAAATCTATCCCCGCTATGTGAACTTCAAGAAAAAAAAAAAAAGTTGCTTATATGTGAGAGTGGATATTACTTCTGTCCCAGCTCAGAAAGTGTTTCCTTCAGATGATATGTAATAGCTTTTTCTTTTTCTGTATATTTATATAAATCTTGTTTGAAAATTTAATTTCTAATCCACTGAGAATCAGTAGCATTTATTCCTTTTTATTGCAGTCTAGCTTGTTAATTTGATAAAGAGTCTGTCAGCATTTCTTTTGCATATTTTATTCCTTTGTGTGCTTTAAAAATCTCCTGCTACGCTGTATATTATTCAGCCATTTGTGGCTTGAAACACTGCCTAAATGCCAGCTTATGTTTCCCTGTTTTCAGACCGTAGTTTTTATGTCTGACAACTCAAGACTTGCAGCAATAACATCAAGTTCCTTCTATGCTTAAAAGAACACCACCCATTTAAAAATATCATCTGCCACCATTTTATTGCAAAATGGGTAGATCTGCTTTTGGGGGGTTGCAGTATTTTGTTTGACTCTCTAGCTGGTTTTTAGACATCAAGTTTTCATATAATTTCCAAAATGTTTTTTCTTTTCATGGCTGATCACTTTTTGGAAAAGTCAAAGTGGAGTGTTTCTGGCTGACTTCCATATGTAGGAAAGCCTTCAGAAAGTCCTTTCTGTATGGGCTCATTGTACTAATATTTAGCCAAGGTTTGCAGAGACTTCACTGCTTGGAAGTACTATCTCTGTCCTGTCATCAGTTTGATCTGTTAAATCCCAGTGAGTGTGAAAAATGAGAAAAATCTTGATTTGCTTGGCTGTTTCAGCAGTATGTTGAGAACGACCAGATTGCTGGAGAAGACGATTCTCTTTGAAACCTCAATGGCTCAGCCTCCTCATCTGTAGGCACATCAAGCTCATCTGAGTGTGTAAATAAAAATAAATAATGCAGTGAAAAAATATGCAGGGTATTTTGAAGTGTTTCAATTTTGGATCTGCTATAACTAATTTAAATCTACTGTTAAGATTTATGCAGGCAAGGGGTCAGGTTTAAGACATTTGTAATTTAAAGCTTTCCTGCTACTACACCTTTTATACTTTATATTCTTTCATGATACCTTTTTTCTGCAGATGAAGTCCCTTTTATTCCCTCTTCCTTTCCTTCTTTGAAGAGAACATTTGCTTCTCCATTTATCTGAGGCAGTGAGACCAGAGTAGCTCTGGATTCTTTAAATGAGTCTAATTGGGCTTCTTTTAGTATATAGAGTATCCTTTTTTTTTTTTTGCACAGGACTTTCATTTCTCTCTGCAGTCGCTCCATCACCAGCACTCCAGATCTTACATGCTTTCTTAAGTTAAAAAAAAAAAATAAAGGGCAAGCAATTATCATCCAAATGGCTGTGGTCTCTATTCCAGGCTCATTCACGGAGGGCAGCTGTTGAATGGCTTGGCGGGGCCAACTGTGATGAACGCAGCGCCGTTTCTTTCCACGACATGGTTTTCTCCGGATGAACGTGCCACAGCAACCGCCATCGCGTCGCTGCTCAATTACCTGGGCGCCGCTGGCGCGTTTCTAGTGGGACCTCTTGTGGTGCCATCTCCTAATGGAACATCTCACCTTCCGCTGGTATCGCAGAGCAACGCTGAGCACATCAAGGACCGCATTGAGGCTGTGCTGTATGCAGGTGTGGTTTAAAAGTCAAAATAAAACAAATTATAAAAACTTTACGTACTTTTGTATGTGTTCGGTAATTATGAACCACTACCCTCTAGTGGCTGGTTTGCACAGAAAACACTTAGTGACTGATGGGGAATAACAAAGTGGTGAGATGTTGCACCATCAGAAGGGTTAATTGTTTTTCCCTTTTGTGTAGGAAAGATGTTAAAATAGCTTTTTTATAGACTGATTCCAAAATAAATGTTTCAGTTGTCTGTGTTGGCTGTTCTTAGGATAAATGTCCTCTAGGAGAGCTTACGCTTTCCCTGAGTTTCCAAACATGTTTTTGCTGCTTGAATTTTCATTTAAAAAATGTCCATGACAGGTTGGGTTGGTATTTTATATTTTTTTCCTTTGTTGCTGTAAGGATGGAAATCAATAGTCTTTCAGCATTATATTCTTTCCTGAATTAAATCAGCCTTAATTTAAGACTCACATATATCTTTCAAATGTGATTAGATTACAATTATTTAAGAATCTAACATTGCAATTAAAACTCAGTAGATTTTGTTTTAAACTAAAACCTCATAGTTCTTATGTGGTGAGCAACATCAGTGAAATGGTAACAGTTCAGTGGGGAAAAAAACCACTGATATAAAATTCACCTGATGTATCTGAGATTACATAAATCCTCGCTCTTTTTCATGCAGTGGCTTCTATGGTGCTTTGTGTCACAAAAATTAGCAGCAAAGCTTTAAGCTAACATTGTTGCTTAGGTGGCTTAAGAGTCTACAATCTGATTCTTAGTGGGTATGAATTGGTATAGCATTAAGAGCAGCTGAACGTTACCATGTCATGGCAGTTGCACGTTTCTTTGGGGTTTTCCCCCCTCAGAACTGAAGCTTGAGATGCAGCCAGGAGTTAGCCCTAAGTATTCCAGAAGTCTTAAAGTGTATGTACTGTGTACTTAATATGAAGTTCTATGGGATTGTGTTAGCTGCTTGTGATCATTTATTCCTGGACACTATTCTTATGAAAAT